AATGACAGTGTACTTTGATACTTGATCAAACTTAAACAAGTGTGTACTCCACACCTTCCTTACTTGTTTAATATTTATCAAGATCATTTTTAGTCAACAAAGTAATCCCATTACACTTAAATAACATTGATGATAACAAATCACCAACATATAATTCTAATAACATCTTCAAGACCGCTTCATTTGCTATTTAGTCATTATTTCATCAATCTTCTTATTCTACCAACATCCATTTTTGTACCATTTTTATAATTTTCTTAATATTAGTAACTTATTTCATCATTTCTTTCAACTATACAAAGGGAGCCTATAATCATGTATTAATATCACCCACATCAAAGGAATATCACTCTTCTTTCAAATATATCACATCTTTCAAATATTTACATCGGCTTTTCTAAGTACATCTATGTTGATGTAATATCAACTCTCTTTCAAACGTGACCCTCAACCACATCAACGGTTAAGAGTCATGTGGAGATACGTTTCAATTTATTATTCTGAAAAGTACAGATAATATAAAATGTTATATTCTAGAAGGTCTAAAACAAACATTTATTTCGGACTATATGACCATTTTTGCAAAATGTTAAAAACTAGGTATCCCTTGATTCCTAGTGATCATTTTTTTGTCAATGTCTCTTTAAATTTTGTGATAACAAACATGGTTTGTAGAAATAATTAGTCTTAGGATACCCGCCATGTATCGAGTATGAAAAGGAAAAGTGTACCAAAGTTGAATGGAATGAAAAGGGTACCAAATAATATTGGATGAAGTGTAGAGAGCCCACATGATAATCCATCTATTGTAGTCACATCCCAAATCCATAATTATTCTTTTATGGATGTTAGTCCATATGATCAACAATCAAGAGAACCAAACTCCGAACCCCAAAACACCACAATATTTGTACGTATGCATTTCCTTATGTTCTCCGATAAGAGAGAAAACAAAAAGGTGAGTGAGTTGTTTATGGGAGAGAGAGACATACGTCAAGTATGCCTAGGATAAGAGATATTAAGTATATTCTTATCCTTATCACTTAGTCTCTTAATTTGAATTAGTATATAAGTATTAATCTTATCTAATTCAAATAATTACAAGTTAACCCCTCCATATCACTAGTTTCTAATTAAGTCAAATTCTTATGATGAGTTAATAAACTAGTCCCACGTAAAAGTGTTCTTGTTATTTAGAGCTTTAATTGTACTTTGTATGTAACATAATAGGCCAATGGATCATTAGCAGTGTTAATAACTCGTTTGATCAATCGACATATTTCCAATAAAAATGCTCTGACATGATTTATCTTAACACAATACAATAATAATCGAAACACTTAATATGATATCCCCAAAATCACGGCCAGAAAAGACCGATTCTGTTTATGCTTTATAAAAGTCAGAGTACTTCATTTTATAAAAATGTTGCGGAATTTGTTCCCAGAAAAACATGGTAAATACGTTATTAAAACATTTTCGAAGGAACGTATTCATTTCATTTTAAAACGTTTGGGATGTCATCTTTAATACAAAAACATAAGCATAAACAGAACTTACAATTATTTACACTAGTGATCTACATCTCTTTAAATCTCTCAGTGTAATGTCACTTCATATCAACACCTGTGATATAAATAAACTGAGTGGGTCAGGTTGGGAAACCTGGTGAGTACATAAGGTTTTCAACCTACAATAATATAATTATTATGTTTAAACAATCAAACAATCAACCCAATTACCCATCCCCATTATCTTCTTTAGTCTTAAGGATCTACCCTAAGAATCAACTATTCCTCGTTTATTTATTCCTAAGGATCATCCTAAGGAATCGACACGAAGTCCATCATTACCAAGGCTTATAGAATATATCTGGTGAACACGTAGTCCGAAACATCTGGTAAACACTTGGTTCAAAAGTAACTAGTGAACACACTTAGTTCAAAATACCTAGTGAACACACTCAGTTCAAAGATACGTAGTGAACACACTCAGTTCAAAAATACCTAATGAGCACCTAGTTCAAAAATACCTACAGGTTACGAGCCTGCTATCGTTCCACTGGACCGTCTAGTATCGTTCATAGTCGTCATCTATACTCCACTAGATGACTAGATCACTGACAACACTGAGGTCGCCCATCGTGTTATCACAAAACAACTATTTCATCTACCCATGTTTTACCCAACACATTTTGTAGATATAAAATACATATACAGTTTAAATCATTTAAAACATGTATAAAAATCTTTCACCCAGCATAGACAGCAAGTATTCAGACAATATGCACACACATCACGTAATTTATATTAAAATACTTCATATCTATGTGTAAGATGAAAGGGACTATGCACTCACCTGATAAGGTGATGACTTGGTACTCGGACAGCACTTCGTTACTGTTAAAACAATTTCCCTCGGACAAAACCTAGTATCATTACCACTAGAGTTTAGTCTAACGTTAACTGCGACTAATTAATAGTCTAGATATTATTATTATTATATAAGCGTTAAGAAACACTCTTATATAACTCATAATAATATCCCAAATACTCATTTTAATTTCCTAATAATGTTACTATATTAAAACATAAGCTATACAAAAGATAGGATAGGCATAGCTCACTTACAGCGGGTTTTTTTCGCAAAACTGGGCTTCGCTGGAGTAGCGTTTCCGAGCTGAAAGGCTCCTCCTCTCAGAGCTTCCCGATGCTCCGGGACTTGCTTCTAACACCTTGGAGGTGCTAGGCAAAAACCTTGAAGGTTTGGGGGTATTGGGGAGGAAAGAAGTGGAGAGTTGTGAAGAAAATGGGAGATTTTCGCCTCTATTTATAGGCTGCCAGCGCCGAGTACGCCGAGCGTACTCAAAAATTACGCTAAGCATAATGGTTACGCTGAGCGTACTTAAAATTACGCAGGGCGTAATGTGTCACGTGTCACCATCTGGTGGCTAGCCTTGGGGAGGAAGCAACGGCTGTAATCGCGCCACGTTACCCAAACTCGCACAACACCCTCCCGACTTAGAAAAATCATAACTTTCGCATACGAGCTCCGTTTTCGATGTTCTTTATATCCAAGCGAAGGTGGGAACATACTCTACAACTTTCGTTTAGACTCCGTCAGCTATTTTTGGCTCGATTTTAATTTTTATATTATTAACAGGCCGGGACAGGATTGGTCCGTTAAATTCTCATCTTCTTCATCCGATGTCCGTTTTCGCCCATCTTTTTCTCGTTACGCTACTCTTAACGAGATCTTCGATTCTTGTTTAGGTTGTGTCGGCTAAAACCGCTCGATCTAATATTCGAATTTTGGACTGTACACTGCTAATCCGAAACTTCGAAAAATCATAACTTCTTCATACGAAGTCAGATTTGGCCGTTCTTTTTATCGATGTTCTTAGTTTAACATATTCTACGACTTTCGTGTATATTGCTAAGGCTAAAACTCGCTCTATCGTAAATTCACTATTTACGCTTCCCGGTGCCGTGCAGGTTCCGTCGCAAAACTTCGACAGGTCATAACTTCTTCGTTATAACTCGGATTTCGGCGTTCTTTATATGTACGGAAACCTTGTAACATATTCTAAAACTTGGTTAAGATTATTTATTCTAAATAATCTTTTGTCGAAAAGTAGTTTTCGACCCCTATTGCCTCTAAATTGACTAGTCCGGATCTACGGGCGTTACACTTAAAATGATAAATTTTACACAAAATATCAAAAACCCTAACCATAAACACCAAACTACTATTATATGTATAAACACCAAATTACTATTATAACCATCAAGGGGATTTTACATATTGCATTCACCATGATGCTTCCCGATTAACTTATTCAGTTGGATCTACATTTTAGTGAATTTATTTTTGTATAAAATGCTAGATAGTCTTCATCATACCACTTAAAATACTCACATTTTGATTTCGTATCTGAAAAATATAGGAAACAACACCTAAATTGGTCTTTTTCATTACAAGAAATTCAAACTTAGCTTGAATATAACACTTGCATCTACATAAGGGTCGATTGATTTTCATGTGAACATCACTTTAGAGCTTGAGCAACTTGAACAAGAGTCCATAACCATCATTGCTCTAAATAAGTTGTGGTGATTGATTGTCTCAAGTTAATTTACGAAAAAAACTCGTCTGAAATGTGTATTTCGAAACTCCGAATGTGCATTTGACTGACATATTATCGGTCTGAAATGTCTGAAATATATACATATTTGGGTTATATAATGGAACATTAGTTATAAATTGAAGTGAATATTACCTTAATTAACAACTAACTATAAAATAACTACATTTCACACATGTTCGAAAATTATAACAAATATATTGTTTTGTCACGATAATTCTAATAACATCTTGACGACGGCTTCATTTGCTATTTAGTCATTAGTTCATCAATCTCATTATTCCACCAACATCCACTTTTGCACCACTTTTATAATTTTCTTAATATTAATAACTTATTTCATTTTTTCTTTCAACTGTACTAAGGGAGTCTATAATCATGTATTAATATTATTCACATCAATGGAATATCACTCTTTCAAATGTATCACATCTTTCAAATACTCTTTCAAATGTATCACATCTTTCAAATATGTCACGTTGGCTTTTGTAAGTACATCTATTTTGAGGCAATATCAACTCTCTTTCAAAGGTAACCCTCAACCACATCAACAACTAAGAGTCATGTGGAGATACCTTTCGATATATTATTCCAATAAGTATAAATTATATAAAATGTTATATTCCCGAAGGTCTAAAACAAAACACTTATTTCGTACTATATGACCATTTAGGTATCCCTTGATTTATAGTGATCATTTTTTTGTGAATGTCTCTTTAAATTTTGTGATAACAAACATGGTTTGTAGAAATAAGTACTCGTGGGATACCCACCATGTATCGAGTATGAAAAGGGTTTGTGTATATTGTTCATTGACCACACCATGAAGACTCTAATTTCATGTTTATAGAGACATCATTATGTGTAGCAATCACTTAGATTACTCAAACTTGTAATAAATAATGTTATGGTTGGATAACTATATTAAAATACCAATGAAAAGAAACAACAAAAAAAAAAATATAATACAAGAATCTTGAACATATATATACCCAATACAATAAGAGCACATAATCTTAACCTAGAAGCTTAGCCAATTCATCCACTCTAAGTGTAGCTTGTGGGACCACGTCTAAATAATTATCCTTCAAATCCTTCTTTCTAGTCCTAGAATTAGTTTTCTTACCTTTCTCACCTTCTTTAACTTCGGAAACCGCTAATCCGACCTCTTCTCCATTGCTTTCCGTTGTCTCGATTCCCGTCTTCTTAACCCGATGGTGTCTAAAAGCCGGCCCCGGAATCGCGGATTCCGCAAACGCAACTGCCTTTGCATACACCGCATCGGCATCCAAACAGGAATCATCAAGAACGGTTGCAATTCCGTCTTGTACTGCCTGCTTTAAGAGTGATACCACTCCCTCTAAACATTCTTGATTGTTATTTTCGGATATAGTAGGTGACGATTTTGTCTCGTCTTCAATGTTCTCGGCTGTAGAAATTATGATTTCGGTTTTATCGCACTCTTCTTTTGTTACACTTTCGGGTGATGATTCTAGAGATGGTACAATGGAATCTTTAAGATCGGAATTGGAATCGGAATTGGAATTGGAATTGGAATTGTTTACTTCATGGGGCTCGTTTTCTTGTGTGAACATTGATTTCCAAGATCGACCTCTCCACATGAGGATGTGTTCGTGCTCGAATGAAATCAAGACACACGGGACAAGATCCTGAAATGTTGAAAATGATATTTTACCAAATGAGGGCAAATTTGTAAATGACCATTTTACCCTTACACTCAACAACAAACAAAAACATCAATTTCTCACATACCTTTAATTTTGCACCAATCCTTCGATAATCACTCCCATTCATTCCTTCACAATTTATTCTTACAATATCACATGCTTCGAATGCCTCTCTAACATTTTTAACAAGGTCACAATAAACCCCATTTTTCCCTAAAACACACAAAAATCAATTTCCTTGATATACAAACACAACAAAGTCTGTAAAAAAAAAGGTTATAAAAACAAAATTGTAAATACATGGGCTTACCAAGCTTGCATATTGGGGTTAATTCGCGTCCTTTTTTGCGCATTTCATTTGCTTCTTCAAGTGTTAGCCCCTCTGGGACCCGTTGGATTAACCGAGGGTAGACAGGGGTAATGGGTTTCCATAACATAAGAGGAAAAATAGGGCGAGTTTTGTAATTATAATTTCTACCCCTGAAAAGATATATAACTCCTCCTTTGCTATATATTATTTTCCCTCCTGTTTTTTCCTGTTACATGATGAATTTTTTAGAAAAAAAAAAAAAAAGAGAAAAAAAAAAAAAAAAAAAAGAATAGTGTAACCAACCTCAAGTTGTTGGCGTACATTGTCCATGTCAACTGTGCATACACCTTTGCATTTGATTTTGCAAACCCTCTTTCGTTTCCAATGAGCATGAATATTGTCCAACATATTGTGTGTCAAACCATCTCTACCTAAAATATTGAAAAAAAAATTGAATAACAAAAAGTTTATTTAATCAAAAGAGCATCAATTTAAATCATATCCCAATCTTAGATGAAAAGACAAGTATTCTTGCCAATAGATCGATGATGTAACAAAATCATTAACCAATGAAAAAGCATAAACATACCCATATTCAATTGTCTATCTGATTTTAAACATCCTTTAATAAGAGCATCAATTTCCTCCTTAGACAATGGCTCCCCCAACACCTCTTCTCTTGATTGTACATACTTAGGACCCGACCCGGGTAAAAACGGACCTGGAGCTTGAACTGGCTTAACCCCCTTCTTATGAGGTGGAGGCAAAGTAAAGGAATCAAATTCAATCTTCTTCTTGCCCGGTGGCAGCGGCTTTTTCCCGGTCCAAGGCCGCGGCATGGTTCCCGGACCAAATGGTGCTATTGGTGGCTCTCGGAGTTTTATGGGTTTAACTTTGGGGGTTTCTGTATAACTATATTGAAACTCAAAAGGGGCTTCAGGAATTATGTATGAGAGTCCGTTGTCACCGACTTTTATACCGGTTTCATCTTCGATTTGATTAGGAATTTTTCTAAGCCGTACAATTCGCTGGAATGCTGGATGAGATGAGGGTTTAGGGTTTTGAGGGGGTTTTGAGTATTTTGACTTTTTACCTGGAATTGAAGGGCGGGAAGGTGCTGAGGGCGTCCCGGTGGACTTGAATGGTGGCGGCGTGGTGTTGGTGGGTTGGAGATTGGCAATTCTTCCGGCGGACTCGAAGCGTTTGTGGAAACGTAGTTGGTCTTCCGTTTCTTTCTGAGTAAGGTCATGGCGGATGAATTTCTGTGCGTTGGCGTTGTTCCACCGCGAGAAGCGGATTTCGGTGGCCGGACGGTGGTTGTGGTGGTGGTTAGACGGTGGTGGAGCGAAAATTGGGAATTGGATAATGGTTTTTACAGTTAGAGCCATTTTTGAGGATTTCAGGTGAGCTTAGTCTGTTTGTGGAGGAAAAGGGGGAAGAAAGTAAACAATCATAATCTAAAAGGGGTGAAATTGAAAAATATAAAAAGTCAAGTATTATTGGCAGTTATCACCCTTGAGGATTTAAAGTTAATAAATTTTCCATGAAACTCCTTTTAAGCTAGTAATTAGAATTGTGTACACTTTTTTTCCCTTCTCATTAAGCATGCAAATCATGGGAAATAAATATTAATTCGTGTCGCAAAGAAATACAATCACGCATGCATGTACATTACATATCGATTAATATCTCTTCTTTTTCAACGAACTTTTGGATTATGCTATGGTCGAAATTATAAAATAAGATTTTCATAGTATTATATTTTAGGGACTATTAATTTTGTGTTGTAGAATGCACACCGTGGTAGATTAGCCGATTCCAATCTCAAAACCTTTGTGGGCTAAATTTGGATTTTGAAGCCCAAAGCCTTTGTGGGTTGTCCAGTTTTTTTGTTACAAACTTTTATGGATTCCGGATCAACACTTTAACTGAGTTTTTGCTAAACCCGGCCCGTTTAATCAGAGGCTAATCCACGGTTGAGTAGCAGTTTACACTGGGTTTCAATCCAAACAGTTCGACATACCGGGTCGACTCGGATTTTAAAAAATCACTGGAGACTATGAGGGTTGTGCTTTACGAGGGTGATTGGCTTGGTTGCCCTGAGATAGAGAGACCATTTTTTTTATTACAAACTATTTCAAAAAAAATAAAAAATAAATAAATAAATAAAGACGGGTATCATGGTCATTCACTTGGACCAAGGACCTTTTCCGTAACAAATGACAAACAAAAGTACTATATGGTTAGTAAAAAGGTTGGATTGATAGTGCAACAGATATACAACCACATGGACCCTTTTTGTAATTTACTCTTACTGTAATGAAAAAAGTAAAATTGGTAAAAATGTTTTTAGAAATCCATAAAAACTTACAATTTGTGGTCGGTTCATTAACTTTCAAGGCCCTGTACAAAGACAAAGAGTAAATATGGATTTCCAAATATAATTTTTGTTTACTTTAAAAAATTCATTAATATTACGATAAGATTTGATAGTAATGTTTTGAAAACCAGATTGGACATTGAACTGATCGCCTTACCGGGTTGATGGTTCAATTAGTTTGACCGATCGGACCAGTCCTAAAAACCAGATGAACCGTACGACGTCATATATATATATATATATATATATATTTGGATTTTTAAAATCAAACAACACCTTCCAAAATACTAATTCTAATAATTTATATATTTCTCAAAGTTTTTTTTCCAAAATAAAAGTTACATTAAACCTAAAATTTTAAAAAACTAGAAAATTTTAAAAACAAAAGCCACAAACTATAAATCAAACAAACTAAGAACGACCTACGGAAAATATTTTTTTAGATTTGTTTTCCTCTTCTTCATTACGAGCTTGAGAGCCGGCTCCGAGAGATGATCGACGTTTTCCATCAAAAACTTCATATCCCCCATTTCTTGTTTCTCCACCTGCTCCTTTTTCCTTGTTTGTTCTTTTTCTCTGTCGAACGCCAAATGTTTGGAGAAATTAAGATTATATCAATCAAACGACGATGCTATTTTCCGCATTTCGTCAATTTCCCCGTTGAAATCAATTCTCTTTTCCCTTTCTCTTCGCTTTGTCCCTACCCATTGGGTGGACAATTTCTTCTAGCTCGAATTCGTCATCCTGATTTAAATCTAAACCGACCCAAGCATTGGAGGAGGTTGTGTAACCACTAGAGCTCGTTTTCGTTCGTTTTGATTGTTGGACTCCAAAAATAAAATCTTGCTTGTATTTTTTCCACCTAGGACATCGAACCAATAATTTCCAACAATCGTGCCACTTGAATGAGTTTCTGACTTCTTCAAGGTAAAACTGCAAAGCTTCTTGAAGTATTTGTCAGTCTCCTTGGCCGTTTTTCCGTTGGGCTTTTAGGTTGGTGTACAACCCGTTTATTTTTGAAACACCCCTTGCTATTTCTCGAAACTTCGAATTCAATTGATGTTTCGTACGGTAGTCGCCGCCTTTTTCTAGCTCCTCTCGAAACCGTTCTAAAATGTGAAACCAAAAATGTCCTCCCGTTTGTGCGTTTCCTTGAATCGAATCCTCAAAAATGTCAGCTCGAGATTTGACCAAAACTAGCTCTTCGTGTGGAAGCCATGCAGTCGGCTTTTGTCTTCCCGGTTGTGCGACATCCTCGCGCGCTTGTTTTTTCCCTTTACGTCTTTGTGGGGGTGGTGTGGGTTGAGTTTCGGGAACCATCTCTTCTTCTTCCGAGTCATCCAACTCGTCGACAAGTTGGTGTTGTTGGTGGGTTTGGGTTTGAGTTTGAGTTTGGGTTTGAGGTTGAGGTTGAGGTTGATTTGACGATTGTTGATCCAGAAACACAACAAAGTTTGAAAACATTTGCGGCGAAACATTTGGAACTTGCATCGGGTAATATTGTCCAACATTTTGGTATTAGAATTGTAGTGGAGATTGAATGAGAGCATCGAGTCAGGGGCGATAAACTCCTTGTGGTGATGAGTCGATAGCAAAAATGTTTCTAGAAGGGATGTTTATATTCAAACCATGAATTTCTTTCCTTCGATCGGAATGTGTGGTTTGATTGTCGGGATTTTTTTTTTTTTTTTTTTTTTGAGAAGAAAGTGGAGAGAGTAGAGGATTTGTATGAATTCCGTTTGATGGTAAATAGTTGTGTATTCATAGGTGTGTAAAAAGGTTTAAAAAAAGGACTTAAACCCATTTATCCGTTACAGCCCAAAAGAAATAAAAAAATTATTATTTTTTTTTTTACCGTTGAATAACGGTTGTATTTAAAAAATAATAATAATAACAACGAATCACAGCAGGAGAGAGAACACGGGAGAGGTTTCCCTCACCCATTCCCGCACCACCCTTCCCCGCGCCGACGGTGCGGTGTTCCGCCGGGCGGTAAGCTCCTCGCGTCCGTTCCCCGCTCCCACTCCGTCCGGCCTAATTGTTAGTCTTAGTCTAGGGAGTTCAATTTCTAAACTCATATGTGAGTAGGCCACTGAATACCTAAGTTAACAGTCGGCTGAAATTTGTTTGGGATAGAATATTATGGTGTGATTAAGATGGCCATAGATCAACATTTTGAAAGATTTTTGCAAAACTTATGCTACAACTTCGTGCTACTAGTATCATTTACAAGTCAATGTGAACGATGAAGATACAAGTCAACGTGAATGGAGATGATACAAGCTGCTATCATGATTAGAAATATTGTTTAAATGAATGTTAGAAGACAACTGACCAAACATTCAATTAATAATACAAATGAAGCGTCATAGACTCATAGTCTGATAGAAAGACAATTTTGACAAAGCATATGGGCTAATGTACTTGAATCTGAACAAAAAGAAGAATGGGTCCATGAGGAGTTAAAGCCTTTATTTTTCGGCCCAATTATTAAAATTCCTAAATCGAGGGACCAATTGTTCCTTCAAACCACAATACAGGGATGCAAACGGTAAAAAGAAAAACTGGGATGCTAAAATATAAGACAAAATTGCAAGAATGGTCCTAGTAAATCCAAAAATGTTATTTTAACCCAAACAGGTTTGGACTAGCACAAATAATCTAAAAGTTTTCATTTTGTTGTGTTTTTTGTCCAAAACAATTTAAAATTTCTAAAAATGATGAATTTGCCATTTTTTTCATTTGCTTTTTTCTTTTCTTTTTGTTATTTAATTATTTTCTAACTAAAAAACTATAAAAAATAAAAGAAAATCTCTTTCTCTCTCTCTCTCTCTCATGTTCATCACCCTATACCACCCACACAAACACCACCGCCCAATGCCACCTTCAATCACCCAATACCTCCCTTATTCCTCAATTATCACCATTCCTATCAGTTGCAAATGTAAAAAAAGAGAGAGATAAAAGAAGGAGCTATGATCGATTCATAAAGGAGAAAAAGGAGAATTGTGATCGAGTTTAGAAAAAGGAGGAGGGTGCGACTTTGGGTGACTATGTTTGTCAATTGGATTTTGAGAAGTGAAAGAGGGGGGGGGGGTCCGATTTCTAGTGTAAACCCTTGTCGTCGATCTAACCTTGTTGGTGTTTCAAGGTTCGGTTTTTTCGATCTAACCCTTGCTGGAGCTTCATGTTAAAGCAAGCCCTAGCACCATCTGAACCGTGTCGTCGATGGACATATTTGAAAGGGGTTGATGAATCCGATGAGATATCTCATATTGTTGATGAAGCATCAATTTTGGGATCTAAAATCGAAACTTGAACAAAAGGATTAAGGCGTGAATCTGATAAGATACCTTGTATTGTTGATGAATCAACTTTACTTGAGCATGAATTAAAGGAATTGGGGGGAAACGAGGCTAGATCTATCCGATTAGGAGTTAAATTGGGTTGGAAACTGATCTTGGAAGAAGCTAAGTTGAAAATTGATCTTGTCCCTACCGCTGTTTCATAACCATCACTGGTATTAGAGGTGGCACCTACAAAACCTGCTCCATAATCAAACTTTGAGATCTGGGTTAAATATACACATTGAAAAGGGACTTGGGATCACATTCAAAGAAGATGAAAATGGTGTGTTCTGAACAGAAAAGAAAAATGGTTACCTGAGATCGATGAAGGAATAAGGAAGAACGACTGGAAGCTCTTGAAGGTCTAAAAGAGATGAATACAAAAAGGAAAATGGTGGTTGTCGTCGTTTCTTCTTCTCCGTTGAACAGTGCCGACGATCCTGTTTGCGATCCGAGGCTTGTTTCAGCTGGCCATGACGGCGGTTTGGTGGTTATTGGGTTAATCTACCATTAAAATAGAAGGAAGACGAGAGGTTGGGCTGAAGAAGACAACAAATTCGGTTGTTGTTGAGTTTTTATGGTGATCAGGAGGAATGAGAGAGAGAGAGAGAGAGAGGTATTTTTTATTTTTCTTTTAAATATTAAAGAATTTAAATAAACA